CAATTAAAGACATGTAAAACAGGGTGGCACATGGGAAGGACTGGAACATTATCAGTTGAGATGATGCTAAGAGCTTGGATGTGGTACCTGAGTTGCCTAGCATTCCCTTGGGCAGGGGCAGGCGCAGGCACAGGGCTGGCTGCAGCCCTAGCTGGCCACCCAGGCGCCGTGGTCCTGACCTCAGCCCAGAATGGCTGCTCAGCCTGAAGGAGTCCGGCAGCCTCCCAAGCCCAGGGCCCAACACCCACTCTCCCCTCCCTGCTCCCAGCATTTCTTTTCTGGGTCAGGGCTCAGAGTCAGAATCCAGCCCCAGGCTCTTGTTCCACTGGCAGAAGTTTCCGGTCTGCCCACCTGGGGCGTCCATACTTCACCCTTTCTGAGTTTAGGAAGCTGCCCCCTTTAGCACCACCACAGAGCAACAGGTGTCCTGATCTAGGCCCAAAGCTCCCAGCTGGTGGGGCATGTTTTTCCTGCGGGGCATGGATACCCCTCATCCCATCACTGCCATTTCCAATGCACTCATGCGTTCAGCCAGTGACCGCACAGTGAGGACTCCCTGTAAGCCAGGCCCTGAGCCAGGACTTCTATGTAGAGCCTCATTTATTCCTCCAGTACCCTGTGCACTATCACGATTTTCCTCTCTCCAATTGACAGAAGAAGAAACTGAGGTTCACAGAGGCTGGGTAGCTTGCCGAAGGCTGAGAGCTCCTTAGCAGAGGACTAGGGCCAGGATCCCGAATGCAGGATGCTCTAACTCCAGGTCCTGTTCTCCTCAGCCACCTTGCGCCTGGCACCCTTGCAGGCTGGAAAGAGCTGGGTGGGGTCCTCTGGCCCCCCAGCTGTCACTCCTTCCTTTGGGAAAGGCTGAGCCTCTTTGCTTCCACCCCCACCCTCATGGGTTCTCTCTCACAGGTGAGGAGCTGCTTGACATTCCCTGGTCCTGCAGCAGCAACAGCGGGGGCGGGATGATTCATAGGAGGGAGGACAGCTGCGGGGGTGGAGGGAAGGAGGCCTGGGCAGTCTCCCCTAACTGGAGTGGGGAGAGTGGGGAGGCCTGTACCACGGTTCCTGAGCTCCCATGGCCCCTTCCAGTCCCCACAGCTGTGCTCTGCCTGGGCCCACTGTGGAGGGCAAAGCAGGGCTGGAGAAGAAAGCCCCAGAAGTCTTCTTACCAGACAGGCTCACAGGGAGGAAGCTGGAGGTGAGGGGGGCCAGGAAGGGAACCAGCAGGCGTTACAGAGCCCAATTCCTGCCTCCCTGCGTGTCCTAGGAAGTGGCCTTTTGACCTGGGTCAAAGTGATGCTCCTGACCATCCGGGGCTTGACTACCGACAGAGTGCTGCCTTCTACGGTTTACAAGAACCGTCAGCCCCTCTCGGCCCTCTCCTGCCTTCCTGCTGCCTTCTTCTGGGCTGCTGACTTCTGCCAGTATCAGCACCACCAACTTACTCTGCGCCTGCTCCCTGCCCTGCTAAGAGCACCCCAAGCAGCACCTCTGTTAAACCCTCGGTAACCCCGAGGAGGGAGGCATTCCCACTGCACAGACTGGGAAACTGAGCCTCAGAGAAAGGGAAGCCTTGGCCCGTGGTCCCATAACCGGGGCTTGAACCCAGGGGGTCCACCCCAAGGCCTGGGCTCCTCTTTGTGCTCCACGCGCCCACCATGCCGCCCATCTCCAGGGAGGGGCCATTGCTGAGACCCATCCCAGGCCTTAGCTCCAAAGACCAGACTCAACCACCCAACCACCGCCCCCAGCCTCTCGCCTCCACCTCCACTGCCGGTATCTTCAAGGTCCAATTGCATCGGCTTTCTGCCTCAGGGATTTGCTATCCACGAGTGATTTCTGGCCACGGACACTGGCATTCCCTGTGCCCACGCTACCTTCCAGCAACCACCTGCCTGCACAGGCGCACACACAGATGGGCAGGCGCACTCACGCACACTCACTCACACAGGCACAAAGGCAGCGCTGCCTTCCCTGCGGAGGGGACCCGGACAGATGGAGGCCCAGCTGCTCCCAGGTGCTGGTGGGGGCTGCAGGGGAGTGCCCCTCTCCCAGCTGGCTCGCTCTAGGCTTCACCCCCTCCGCACCCCACTCCACCCCCACCCTGGGGGCTTTGAGAGAAAATGATGAGAATCACAATAATAATAACAGGAATCAGCGCTGCCTGTTTGCAACACTTTTCCATCTAACCTCTTCACGGGACTTGCACAAGCTATGAGGAGGGTCTTGCGCTTTCCATTTTTCGGGGGCAGCAGAGGGTCACGTGCTACTTAGGAGCAGAGTCGGGGCCCTAAGCCAGCTTCCTCCATTCACCCCCTCCTGCACTGTAGTGACGACCTAGTCCTTGTGGCCACTGCCCATTCTTGCACTTCACGAATGTCAGTTTTCATCCTTATTAACACCCAGTGGGTGAACGTTTTAATGCTCAGTGCAAGATGGGGTAACTTAGAAAAGTTAAGCGGAGATTTGAAGAAGATGAACATCACTTTAGAAAAGTATACAGTTAAGAAGAGACCAAGAGCTTCCCCTGGGCGCTCTTAGGGAATGTGGGCGCCGGGGTAAATGGATAGTTTCTTCCCTCTCCTCTGGCCCCTAAACACTTTGCCAGCCACTGGGAGCTGTTCTGCTGCTCTAGGTCTGTCTGTCCTCCAGGAATTGTGAGCCCCCTATTGGGGGCTGGGTCCTATGTACCCCTGAGTGAGCTGGAAGGTCCCAGTCAAGATGGACACCTTCCTGAAGGATGATGGCCCAGCCTGTACTCCCTGGCACCCTGCTAATGGACTGAGGGAACACAGAAAACACAGAATCAAGACACCCTGGGCTCCAGGTTAGCCAGAACAAATGTCATGGAAAGTATAAGCTCCCCCTTCCCCTATCAACCCTCATTCTTGCTCTTCGGTCTCTGCCTGAGAGCTACCAGTGGCAGGTGCTTGCTAACACCACAGCAGCCTCCTCCTGGTTGGGGATCCCCAATATCCTTCTATGTATGTTATATCCTTCTATGGATGTAAGGTCAGACTCTAGGGTACATCCAGTGGTCACACCAAGGGGTATACTGGCCATGTCTCCACGGCAAGGGAAGCAGTTGGAGGTGACACTGCACACATACGCGGCTGGTGTCCTCCTATTAGCAAGCCAGGGTCCTGATGCTGGGCAGGTAGAAGGAGCCATTCAGGGAGAAGTCATCATCTCTGCTTGAGCCAGCTTTGTAAAGGCAATGAGTTGAGCCTCTGAGTTGTTGCAGGGACCACTATGGGGTCCCGAGCCCGGTGGATTTTAGATCTGTGCTTCATCCAACACACCTAGGAACAACCGATGGTCACTGCCCTTCATTTATTCATCTTTATTGGCTCTCACTGGCTGGATGCTTGGCTGGGAGCAGGGAGGCTGGCAGTGTGGGCTACAGGATCAGAGTTGTTACCTTGGTAATCAGGACAGCGAACAGTCGTTGGGCACTTGTGATGAGCCAGGCACCGTTCTGTTTACCTCCGTGTAAAGAGCACAGCCTCTCCTGTCCAGACCAGGCGCTGGGAGGGCAGTGGGAGTCTGCTTGGCACGGCAGCTCTGAGCAGCTGGCACACAGTCGGCACCCAATACATGTGAGCGGCCGCTATTTAACTCTAAATCACCACAACAACCATGGGCTGCTCCTACTATATCTGCCCCCTTTTTGTAGGTGGAGGAAACCAGATACCTAGCGATTAAGTAATTTGCCCAAGACCACACAGTCACCAAAAGGCTGAGCCAAGATCTGAACCTAAGCCATTTGGTTCTAGAGTCAGCCTGACTAACCCTTCAGGAACCGGCTTAGGAGAGCTGGGACCTGGAGTCAAGGCGCCCACCCAGCTAACTGCCTGGGGCTACCACCTCTGTGCCCCATTTAACTTACCTTGTGAAATGGAGCAAGCCATTGGCCTTGGGGTCCCGGCCCCCACACACCCGCTTTAGTGTGGTCGCCAGATAAGATGAAGACATGTAGATACTCTTCTAAGAAGGATGAAGAGTGGTAGAAGAGCAGTTTGAAATGAACCTAGAATTGAGGTTAGGGGGGGCATTGAGAAGGGATTTTGTTTGTAGGAGCCTTGTTCTTTTTAGGCAGCCAGAGAGCTTGCAGAACCCAAACCCCAGTCTCATGGGACAGATAAAAGTTCTAACTGCAGTGCTCAAACAGGCATCCGACCCCTCCCACCCCGCCTCCCCCTGAGCCCCAGGGCAGTGCAATTTACTCAACATCTTTGGGGCTAGATTTTAGGGTGGAGGATGAAGAAGGGGTGGAGTGTGTGTGATGTGATCTGGCAAGTCACACCAAGAGAGAAGGGTGGACCTGGGCTGGAAGGCAGAAACAAACATTATTGACTGCGAATGCCCTCTGTAAAACGGGATCAATCGTACCAACCTCACAGGGTGTCCTGAGAATGGGTGTCAAATGAGTTAATACTTGTAACTCCAGAGCACCAGCGCCTGGCAGGGAGCAGGTGCCCAGCAGATGGGGATTTTCTTTTGGGCCGTGTTACTGCACCCTTGGCTTTCCATTTCAGACACTGGCTTAGCCCCAGGGACACCCCAAGGATATCTAAGACAGCGTGGCGTGCCAACCTCGGGGGTGTTGCTCGTCTCACGAGAGGGGTGCAATCTACAGAACTTGCCAACAAAGTCTTCCAGCAGTCCGGGTCCTCGATTCTCCCGGGGCGTGAGGGCGCCCCCCTCAGGCGGTTTCTAGGAAAGGGCCGGCTGGGGAGCTCCGGAGCCCAGTTCCCCCGCACCTCCCTCTCCCGCCCGCCCCGGCGGCCACCCTCGGGGGCGAGGCAGCCCGGCGCGTGGGAGGGGACGGCGCGCCATTGGCTTGTGCGCGGCACAGGGAGGAGGGACCAGTGGGGGCCGCCACACTCCGGTAAACCCGGCCGCGCAGGGCGCCGCGCGCAGTCCAGCCCGGCCCTGCCCTGCCCAGCCCTGCCCAGCCCTGCCCCGCGCGGGCGGCACGATGTGAGGCGCCCGAGGACCCGAGCGGCCCCCGGCTCGCCAGCCCCGCGCAGCGCCGCGCAGCATGCGCTAGGAACGTAAGTTCAGTCTCCCGCCGCCGCTTCCCAGACTCGCACTTTCCCCTCCGGCGCCGGCCGGTGCTGCGCAGCGCAGCCCATCGGGGCTCCTGCGGGCGCGGGGACCCTTGGGGACAGCAGCACCGCGCGCGCTCCAGCCAGGCGCCCCGGACCTCCTGCCCTGGGCGCATTCTGTTGGGACCCCGGCGGGTCCCTCTCCAGGGCTCCAAGGCGCGCCGGGCTGTTTCTTTTGTCCCTCTCCTTCCTGCTCTCTGCGCGCGGCCCTTCCCTGTGCCTCGGTTTCCCTTTCGCCCCCGGCACCCTCCCTGCGACGCGCCCTCCCTCTTGGACGGTTGATGTCGCCCCTGCGTCTCCCCCGCTCGGGTGCGCTGCCCTCTGCTTCAGAGCAAGAAGCAGCAAAAAGCAGTTTCTCCCTCCCTGGGGTCTGACTCCAGCCCCACGCTCGGTTGTCTGTCCCTACCCACCCCCCAACTCTATCCCCCCCCCCATTGTTTCTGGGTGCTAGGAGTGCGCGGCTCAAACTTGCGAGTCCCCCTGCGCCCCCCTGCGCCCCCGCCGGGCCGCCGACGGAGGTGGCTGAGTTCCTGCTGCCCCCAAGTCTCGCCGACCTTCTGGGTCCGGAGCCGTGGGGGTGGGGATGCTGGATCGAAGGGCCCTGGGGCGCCCAACAACCCGCAGCTCCCCGCCCGGAGCGCCCCAGCTCAGACTGGGGTCTCAGAAAGTGGGTGACTGGGAGCTAAAGGACACGTTGAAGAGGGGGACCAAAAATGGGAAAGAGTCAAGCCTCCTGGCTAGGGTGGAGCGGACAGAAAAGGAAGCCCTGCCTAGCCCCCCAGTTAGGGGGTGGGGGGCGGTGGTAGGAGAGGCACAGGCTGAGACAGACATCCCCGCACGCTCGCTGAGCTGGAAGGGGACAGTGTCGGGCCCGTGGCCAGGGGCAGGGCGGGTTGAGGCCACCTGCCGTGGGCAACAGACGCGCACCCCTCCGGGGGGTCTGGAGCAGAGCCGCGTGGGCGCTGCGCGCGCGCCCGGCACGCCCCGCCGCGCTGGGCGCTAGTTTCGCGGTCTGCTCGCCACCTTCCCCCGCCCCCACCCCGTGCAGAGCCTGGGGCGCCCGCCGCCGCCGAGCGGCTGGGCGTGGGGGTTGGGGTGTGGCGAGGTGAGGGGGCGGGAGTGGGTTTCTCGGCTGGAGCGACCTGGACAGCTTGAGTTTGAGCCGAGCGCAGGCCTTGAACCCGCGGAACGAAGTGGAAGGCCACGGTGGATCCCCACCCTGCCGCCTGCACTTCCTGGTTGATTTCCTTGGGACAAACTTTTACTGCTGGGGCCGTCCCATGGGGAGAAAGCCCCGGGGCTTGAGGAATTCCCAGCCCCAAAAAGGCCTGTGGAGTGGCTGCCCAGGCCAAAACCTCTTCCAGTGACTCGCCCATCCCAGGGACCCGGGGTGGGGTGGGGTGGGGTGGGAGGAGTTGTTGGATAGTCGAGAGTTGGCCCCCCAAAACAGCCCAGGGAGTAAGGATTTTTCCTGTTGGGCTGTAAGGAAATAATCTTAGACCCCGATAGCCCATAAAATGGACCAGTTATCCTGGAACCAGCTACCTTGGCCTCTGCTTTTTCCACCCATGGGGACTGACAGCTTGATTCTTCCAAATTTGGATCAGGCAATGCAGGGCCTGCACTTGAACCCTTTACCAAAGTCAGGCCACTGCCCAACCCTGTTCTCTGCAGGGCCCTGGAGGGACCCTGTGCCACACTCAGCAATCTGTCCTCCCCAAGACCTTACGATAGCTGTCACATCCTCTGCTGGAAGCCCCGCCTGCTCTTCCTGGGGCGAGGTTTAAGATAGATGATGGAATCAACAGTGACCCCCCCCCCTTCACATAGTCTTACACTCTTATTTACTTTCACTTATTGAAAAAAAAATCTTTGAGGTTTTCCCTAAAATAACTTAGTGAACAAAGTACTGGGTATAGTCCTAGGCCCTGGGAGACAACTGTGAACAAATAAAGATTCTTGCCCCCCTGGAGCTGACACTTACAGGGGTTGGGGGATACAAATACAAGTTACACAGTGTATTGGGAGATGAGGGGGAAAGGTTGTGTAGGGGGATGTTGGGGCCAGGGGTCTGGGTGGCCATTTTCAGTAGGGTAGTCAGGGAGGTCTCCCTGAGGAGGTGACTTTTAGCTAAGGCTTTGAGGGTATGAGCTTTTTGTGGGTATAGCTTTGGGAAGGAAAGGCTCTACAGACCATAGCCAGTGCCACGGCAGGTGCCAGTATTATGCCCATTTAGCAGATGAGAAAGCTGAGTCCCAGGGAGGTGGTGTTGAAGTCGTTTTAGGGGATAATGGGTTTGATCCTCCATCAGTGTCACTGGCTCAAGGCCCTACAGCTAGTAAGTGGTAGAGCCAGGATTTAAGCATAGATGTTTTGAATCATGACCTTTAACCACAAAGCCAGAGCCCCAAACCCTGGGGATATGGTCAATCCTGGATTGTTGCTCTGACCCATCAGTGTCCTGGGAAAAATACAGGATAATTGCCTTCTGCCTGCCTTCCCCAACCTACCCAGAAGGCAAATCACCACTTGCTTCTAAAAAGTTGGCTCAGAATGGTACAGCATCCCTTTAAGGGAGTGCCCCTCCTACTCCTCTACAGGGGAAGGGAGCATCTACAGGGATGGGAGCAGTGGGGAGACTTGGCAGGGGAATGGGGTCTGCCTGCTGCCTTCTCGAAAGGACTCTGGCCCCGGGGGATCTGGAAATCAGGCTGTCCCCAAGACAGGGTCCCTTGAGATCAGGAAGCACCAGCTGCCTTACTGGGTCGAGGGGGAAGCTGGCTCACCCCTGGGTTGAAAAGAACAGGAATTCCCTATGTGCTCTGCCTTTTGGGGTGACAGTAGGGACCAGGAGGACCCGCTCAGTGATTTCTGAGTAGTGATGGGGGACTGAACCACCCCCCTCCCCGGCACCCCACCTTGCTCACAGCAACAGCTTCAGACCCCTGGGTGAGTTTCCCAGGGACATCCCTCCTCACCCTGCCGGGCCCTCTGGCCCTCTGCAGCACAGTAGGGGATGTTAGTTTTATGTCCCTGAAGCTTTGGAGATTTTTGTGGTGAAAGTTTGGGCCTTCCTGTGCCTTTCTGGAAATTAGGCACCTTGAAAAGAAAGCTAACTTGCAGCGGACAGAAGAAATATGTGTCCGGGGGCGGTGAGGGGTGGGTCTTGGAGTGCGGCTGCACTGTGGCTAGTCTGCCACGGGGTTTGGAAGCCAAATCACAAATACCACAGTTGCAAGGGCCCAGGAGATCACACTCCTGTTTCTTGATGGTTAGATGAGGAAACTGAGTCCCTGGCAGGGTCTGTTGGTGACCTCAGCTCACTGTCTCCCAGCCCAGTGACTCAGGGCTCACGACTGCCTTCCAGCTTCACTGCTAACCCTCTGCCACCAGCTCCCATGTTCCTGGAGGTTCTTGGAAAAGGGGTGTGGAATCCCTTTCTTAGCTTGGAGCTTTGCCGGAGGGGGAGTTGGGTTTGTAGCACAGCAAGATTTGCCTCATGCTCCCCACTCCCTTGCTAGTTCCACTCTTTGTGGTCCCCGCCCTTTGCAACAGATGCTGCCCCCAGCTCTGCTGCTATGACCCGAGAGGTGGAGCAGCCCCACCCCCACTCCCACAAGGCTGACAGAAAGGCCCTACCTTTAGGATAATTACTCTCTCCAGGGCCAGAATGAAGGGAAGCCCCTTCCATGGCAGTCCTGCCTGGTTTCCTTCCTTAACCCTGGACCCCGGGGTTCCCCATCAAAATCTGCACCCCAGATGCCGCTGAGATGATGTGGGCAATGCAGTTGTGCCGATCAAGCCTCCTTTGTGTCCTGTGACTTTCTAGTTTAGCTCTGATTCTCCAACAACCCAGCAGTAAGTTAGGCTTCATCATCTCCACTGAGCTGGAGGATCAGGGCCCTGGTCACTTGCCCAAAGGCACAGGTTGGTACGGCAGAATCCACAGGTGCCTTTACCCACTGTGCCATTACAGCTCCTGGGATGCCAGGTCCGCTGCCTGAGAGCCCAGGTGGTGGGTTCTGGGTTGGTGTCTTTAGACCCCGTCTTGCCCAAGGGCCTGATGCTCTGCTCCAGGAAGGAACCCCAGGGTAGATGGTGCAGCCTTGGACGTTGCAGTTCCCCTCACCCCTTACTGGCTGGCGGTCCATGTCTGCCCTTCTCTCTGACCAGGGTCTGGAGGTCCTCTCATACCCCTCCCCCTTGCCCTAGCCCTAGCCCGGACCCATTTCCAGCTATTTTGCAACCCTGTGATAACAGAACAATGGCTCTCCCTGCAGCCCTTCCCAGGACCTGCTGGAGTCTCAGGACTTTAACCCAAAGGAGGCTGGACCCCAGAGTTCAAATGCTGGTGACACCCCAGTGGCTTGCAAGGCAGGGATGCAGCTGGGAAGGTGGCTTGGAGCTCAGTGCTCTCTGGAGAGCAGACAGACCAGGCCACACAGCAACCATGCACGCAGGTGCTCGGGACGGCCGGTGCCTGCACGGCGAACTTGTTTTGTCAACTCTCACTTGGGCCTTAGTTCCTGTAACATGCAAGTTGGAGTGGAGTTACCTGGAGCCTTCCCACCTGGGCGTCCTTGCCAGGGTGGATGCTTTGGGGACCAGATGGGGAGGGACACGCACTGCCCCTCCAGCAGAGGGTCTTGTTGGTGGCGGAAGCGGATCTTGGCTGTGACTCTCAGCAGCCATGACTCCTCCTGAATCACCAGGAGGCTCAGCAGCTGGTGGGTGATCTAGGCTCTAGGCCCCTCCCTCCCCCCTCCTGTCAGGGCACATTCTCCTTGACAGGGATGCTCTGCAGTCCATCCGTTTCTATGGAAACCAGGCTTCCCTGGAAGGCTATGGGGGAGCTGGAAGAGGCCCCCAGGACCTGCATGGGAATGAGGCCCCAGGCCCATATGATCTGCTGCCAGAGCCAGTCCGGGCAGCTGCCCCCTTAAAGTTATTAATCACTGTCCTTTACGGGTACGTGCTGGTGCCAGGCCCCTCGACTGCCTGTTCTCATGGTGCCTCTCTGAAACCTGTGAGCTGAGAAGTCTGGTTTTATAAATGAGGAACTGAAGGCTCAGAGAGGTTAAGTAACTTCCCTGAGGTCACAGAACAGTGAAGAGAAAGACTAGGGCTTTGAGTCTGAGTTTGCCCCATCCTTAAGACTAAGCCCTCCCTCTTCCCCTGACATTGTACCCCCAAGGCACCCCCTCTCTCCCTGGCCTGGGTCAGCTTCTGGGGCTTTGCTTGCCTCTGCCCCAGCTTGCCCCCCTTGGTTTTTGGGAACTCTTCAGGGCCTCAGACTCTAGGGCACCCGTGGGGAAGAGCACGGAAGGGCCCGGGCACCGTTCACGAAAGACCCCAATGCCAACATTCCCCTTTATTTCCAAACTCAGGGTGCTCTGCGACCTGCCTGGCTTATCCCTGTCAAAAGCCACATTATCCAACCCCCAGCTGTTTGATTCTATGCTGATTTTATTTGCTGGGTGATTTGTTTTAAGACACCGGGAGACTCTCAAAAGCCATGTTATCCAAACCCCCGCAATTTGATTCTCTGTGCTGATTATTTGCTGGGTGATTTGTTTTAAGACACTGGGAGTCTCTGGAAGTCTGGAAGACGGGAGGTGACCTGGGCATACTGGCAGCTCTGACTGGGCCGGCAGACACGGTGACCGGCTCTGGGGCTGAGGCCTGGCCTGGGAGGGCTGCACACGCAGCTCGGGTCCCAGACAACACCTTGCCTGTGAAGGGGGCTAGTTTTCTGCCTTGCTCAAGGAGATGAGGTGCTGGAGATGCGGGAGACACCAGCCTCTAACTGGCAGTAGGATAGGGAGAACTTGTGTTGAACCCCACTAAGTTTTGTCTCCTCTTCTTTAAAATGGATGTGAATTATGTCTGTCTTGCAGGATCTGTAGGACCACCCCAGGACCAGCTTCCAGAAGCCTCTACTGCCCTGAGGTCACACACCTGATCCCCATACAGGCTTCGTACAGACTGTAGACGTGGACGGGGCCTCAGTGCATCCCTGCCTGTCCTCACTTAGCGCAGCACCTGGTGAAGTGTAGGGACCAAGCCAGAGGTAGAGTGGGTGGCAGGGGGTGGGGGGGGGTGGAGGATCTGGGCAGGGTCAGGGGAGCCTGGTGGTGCTGATGGCAGGGAGGGGTCAAGGCCTGGACTGCCAACCCAGAGCCCTGCCTGTGCTCCTGACCACCCTTGCTCTGTGCCACCCACCCACGGGCTTTCTTTCAGTCCTGGCAGGTTTGAAGGGGGTTGTCTGGGTGTCCGAGGGAGGGAGCAGGAATTCCTGCTGGGCAGCAGGAATTATCTGGACAGTATAATTCAGTGGTGGTCCTGTACCCCAGAACTCAGGGTCCAGGTGTGGGCAGATCCTTTCCTCTTCTGGGTGGCAATGCTGACAGGCCTTGGGAGATCCGTCCCAACCCATTTTGTAGATGAGGAAGCTGAAGCCAGAAAGGGGCAGTGACTTGGCCCATTTTGTCATGAAGTTGGGTGCTGAGGGAGCTGAGCCTGCATCTGAGCCCTCAGATTACCTGTCTGGCGTTCTGCCTGCTGCCCCTAGCGGGAGGCTCAGCAGATCCTGGGCCTAGGTCTGCCCTCCTCCACCTCCCCAGGGCTGAAAGCTGGGCAGGCCCCTTCCCTTAGCCCTTTGTCTCCCCTCAGTACCTCTGCACCTCCAGGACAAGATGGCGGCCAAGCAGCCCCCACCTCTCATGAAGAAGCACAGCCAGACGGACCTCGTGAGCCGCCTGAAGACCCGCAAGATCTTGGGTGTGGGCGGCGAGGACGATGATGGGGAGGTTCACCGATCCAAGGTGGGCCTCAGAGGAGGGCCCTGGAGCCTGCCAAGTCCAGGGATCTGCCTATAGCTCCAAGTGCGGGAGCCAGGTGTGGGATGCCATTTGGGGAGAAGAGTAACAGGCCCAGACAACTGCCGGAACCCCAGGACTGAGCTTATTTTCTCAGAATCTTAGTGGAGAATTTGGGGGAATAATAACAACAAGGAAAGTACATTGTTTGAATTCATTGAGTGCTTATTATATATATCCAATATCACACCTCCTGCTTTATCAGCATTATTTAATCTTGCTGACCCCTGCGAGATGGAGACCCAGCTACTAGCCCATTTTGTAGATGGAGAAACAGGCTCAGAGAATGGAAGGAACTTGCTGGAGGCCACACCAGTGAGTGGCGGACCAGGCTTTGAGCCCAGGTCCACAGGCCCCTGCGCCTTTTTTCTCAGCCAGTGTATTTTTAGCTTCCCTCAAGCTCTGGAGCTGATGCCTCAGTGTGACCCTCACAGCCGGGGACTTGGTGGTCCCTGGGCATGCAGGGGCCCCGGGGTGGGGCTGGGGGGTGGGCTGTGCAGGTGGGTTGGATGTGCAGAGAACTTTCTTTACCTGGCTGCCCCCACCCTCTGTGTCTGCAGATCAGCCAGGTCTTGGGCAATGAAATCAAGTTTGCTGTTCGGGAGCCTCTGGGGCTCAGGTGAGCATTTACACTTGACTTTGGTTTGCGGAAGGTTATAGGAGGGGCTGCCCAAGCTGCCACCCCCTCAGCCTTGCCCCTGAACCGCCTTACTCTCCATTCCATCCCATCTCACTCCCTCCCTGGAAACCATCCATCCCTGGGCATCTTGGCTGGTGAGGGGAGGGATCCTCTGGGATGGGGGCAGCCTCAGGGGTCTGGCTGTGACCTCCCTCTGCACGCCCCCTAGGGTCTGGCAGCTCATATCTGCTGTGCTCTTCTCTGGCATCGCCATCATGGTGAGTCCCCCCTTACCCCTGGACCTGGCCTTGGTTCTGGTTCCCCCAGCCCTCCTCTGGACGGCTCACTGGGGGCCCTGCTGCCTTTCCGGCATTGCCTGCTCAGGCCCCTCTGTCAGGGCTCTCTGGCTGCTTCTACTTTCCCGGCTCCCGACACTCACGCCTATCTGTGCGCTGCCCTGGAGCGACCCTGTCCCCTGGTCCTGACTCCACTCCTCTCCCCACCCCTGGGAAGTCCAGAGCCTTCGGTCCAGCCTGGAGGGGTGAGAACAGGGCAGTCAAGATTCTGACCCTGCACTGCCCCAGGGACTTCAGCCCCACTCTTGGGGTAAAGATGACCCCTTACCCTGAACCTCGCACCCACTGTCTACAGGCCCTTGCCTTTCCAGACCAGCTCTATGACGCCGTGTTTGATGGAGCCCAGGTGACCAGCAAGACTCCCATCCGCCTCTATGGTGGTGCCCTCCTCAGTGAGTGTCCCTGGGATGGGCTCTGAGGGAGGTGATGGGACCAACCTGGGCTGAGGGGAATGCCCGGGGTTTCCTCTATGCAGGGTTCCCTTAGCCCTGTGTCTGCCGAGGAGTCTGTCTCTTGCTGGGTGCGTGCTGCCATCTTGTGAGCACTCGCGGAGTGCACCCGTGGCTGGGTTTGCTTTTGCCATCATCTGGGGCAAACTCCCCCCCACCCCCAGGCTTTGGGGTACAGAGAGGAATGGGCCCAAACCCTGCCCTCCAGGGCCTCATAAGGCAAAGCCTCTCACACGCTTGGTCTTCTCATTTGAACCACTTCTGTTTCCCCTCTAAGCCGAGTCGCACAGAGGGACAACTTTTTAAACTAGTACAGGTGGTGTCCTTCATCTCCAAGACAGTCTATTGCTCCCTGTTTTCTGTAGCATAGAGGCTCAGCTCCTCCCTGGCATTTAGAGTCTTCCATGGGGTGACTCCTGCTTCCCTTCCTAAAAAGCTGCCTCTTCTACCTCCTGCTGTGGGCCCTGGATCTAACCACACCGCCCCATGTGGTCCCCAAACTGGACCTTTGCACCCAGTTTCCTCAGACTCAAGCTGATGCTGCTTCTGCTCTACCTCCGAAGGCCAGCTCAGTACATGGGGCCTGGGGTGGTGGAGCTGGGGAGGCTGCAAGCTCTTCACCCAGGAAGGGAGAACGGGCGCTCTGGGGTTAGGGCTGTTGCAACGAAATGAACGAGCCAGCAGACCCTCGTAAGCGGGGCTTGTGGTTCTTCCACTAGAAAGCCCAGTTTGCCTACCTGCCGCCAGGAAATTCCCTGTGACTCCTTATGGCCTCAGGCTTCCTGTCTGCGGGCGTCCATTTGGAGAGAAAACGCCCGTGAACTCAGGGCTCTGCCAGTGCTGACTTGAGAGAGAACCTGGAGAGGGTGGGATGTCCAGGCTCAGTTCTCCCATTTTACCAGTGAGAAGACTGAGTCCCTGGGAGGGGACGCGACCTGCCCAGTGTCCCATAGGGCCTGGGAAGTTACAGGAGCGGGAGTGAGCTTATTGGCTGAGGCGCAGCGTTGAGCCTGGCGGGGATGGGATGGGGAGCGGTTGGTGAGTTTGCATTTGAGCCGTGAGTGAGTCTGGGGTGGCAGAAGTCAGGATCCTGACTGTCTTTTGGGTCAGAGAAAAAGGAGGAGGCCACCAGGTGGGCGAGCAGGCGGCCCACCCCGTCTGCCCGCTCACACCCAGGCATCTCTCTGATCATGTGGAACGCTCTCTACACGGCCGAGAAAGTGATCATTCGGTGGACGCTGCTCACGGAAGCTTGCTACTTCGGCGTCCAGTTCTTGGGTGAGTGCTGAGGTGGCCAGCGGGGCAGGGGAGAGACTGATGGGGTATATGAGGGTGAAGGTGGTTTTGCCCCCTCTCCCCTTCACCTTTGCCTTCCAACTCTTGGTACTTGGGTTTCCAGAGAGGAAAAGCTGCCCGAGGGGGAGGGCCTGGTGTGGCTGTGTTTAATATCTGGGCCTGCACACCTGTGCCTACACACCCCACATATACCTGTATCTTCCTGAATAAAAGTGTGTGCCCAGCACAGGTGTGACAGCACACCCAGTGTGTCCACATGCCCCCTGCACCCCTCCGCCTGCCACGTGGGCATAGCTTATCCAGGTGTGTGGGTAGGGAAGGACCCCCGGCTCAGGGTCGGGGGTAGGGCGTACCCCCACTCTCTGACCTCTGTTCCCCTCCAACTGTCTCCCACAGTGGTCACTGCCACACTGGCCGAGACGGGCCTGGTTTCCCTGGGAATCCTGCTGCACCTGGCCAGCCTCCTTTTTGTCGCCATCAGCATTTACTACTATTACCAAGTCGGCCGAAGACCCAAGAAAGTCTAGCTGCCCGTGCCCGGCCCCCTCGGGGCAGGGAGGTCCTGGGGCCTCAGTTTCCCTTTGGTACCTGGAAGACAGGAAGGACCCTACCTGGGTGGCAGGGGTGGCTGCCTTCCCCATGCCGGGCACACCACATACTGTGGTCTCCGGGTTTGGGGAAGGACTGGCCCTCAGCAACTGTCTCTTCAGCCTACACAGGGACACCTCCTGTTTTTGGGTCTCTTGTCTCTGGCCCCCCTGGACGGATACTGGAGAACTGGTGTCTGGGTGTGGGGCTAAGGTGACCCTTCTTCCGGGCGACCCTTTTGAGAGAGGCTGTGGCTGCCTTCCTGTCCTCCCTCCACACCCTCAGCCAGTGTAGAGCGGAGCAGCTGAACTTGGCTTCTTTCTCTGCCTGGAAAACCTGACGACTTGACCCTGTGTCCCTGCTCCTGTCTGTGGCCCTGCCCCACCTGGGAGGCACACCCCGTAAGCACACCCCGCCCTGCCCACAGCCCAGCAGCCCCGACAGGCGGCTTTGAGACTGCTCTTCCCGCTCAGGCTCTGTGAGTTGGGCTACACACACCCAGTGTCGTCCCCACCGGGGATGCTCCCAGCTTCTGGAGGCCCTAAGGAGCCCTCTTCCCCTACTGGCCCAGGCCCAGAGGCCGCCAGAGGCTTCACCACAGGCCCGCCTGGGCATGGACATGATAACCCCGCTGGAGGCCACTGGAAGTGATGGGGTTTGGAGGAGGAATAAAGCAGCAGTGGTTCTTCCTGATTCCTGGGCCTGCAGGCATGCCCTCCGGGGGCCTCTCCCACACCCCTCCCTGGGGGCTGCACCCTCTGCACCTGTGGCTCCCGCTGCCCCCAGGGCCTGGCTGCGTAGGATGGGGGCCCTTCAGACTGCGCAGGAAAATAAAAAGGTTGCATCTGGCTTCCTCCTCTCGGCCCCCCATCCCCTTTCCCAATGCCCTGGACTAGGCCCTGGAGCTTCCTCAGAGCAGCGGAGGAGCCGCCCGTCCCTCCCCATGGTCTGTGTGCCCCTCTCCCCCAGCTGCCACTCGTTTGTCCCTGCTGTCAGCATTCTCCTTCCCTCCAGCACCCTGGAAATGGCAGCCCCTGTGTGCTGAGGAGGGGTGTGGAGGGAGGGTGTGGAGAACAGCCCAGGCCTCAGACTTGCTTCCCAGCCAGAAAATGTGTGGGGCGAGGCTTGGGGAGAGGGATGATCCATCTGTGCATTCCGGCTCTGGTTACTGACATAGGGGCCTCCCCAGACCCCCCTCCCGCGCCCCACAGCTGCCACAGCTACCCAGTCGAGGAGGGAGGCTCAGGGCTGTGCGGCTGGTTACCTGGTTTAGCAGAAGAGCCTGGCACTAAGGAAGGGCCGCTCTTACCTGGTGTGTGCCTCTGGCTGCTGACTCTGTGCCTCTCTCCAGAATCACATTCCCGCCTTGAGGAGCGGTGGCGGCACCAGGTGGTGTTGATGGCCGGTGGGCAGCGCCCCCAGGCACGGCTACAGCCCTCCATCTGACCCATGCTTTCGGACCTGGCTCACCTGCCCGCAGGTGATGGGCGTTTTTGTCCTAATGAGCACCAGGTGTGGAGGGGAAACCCCAGAGGGCAGGCAGGGAAGCCCAAGGCTTTGGAGCTGAGGTCTGTGTGGGCATCTGTCAGGACTGAGCCAGCCACTTGTCCTCACTCAGCTGGGGTCGGGAAGGGGGTTGTCAGGGCCTTGGCCCTGAGAGGTGTTAGGGAAGGCATGTGGGCATGGGGCTGCCTGCCTCCAGCGACCCTTAGAAGCATTGCAGTGGGGCCTAGAGGAAGAAGCCTGGCGGCAGGATGTTAAGGCCAAGGGGAGGTCTGTTGGGAGGAGGCCGTGACGAAGAGCAGGGAGACATAGGGACCCTCCATTCTAGTGAGAAGGGCCAGTGTGGACCCAGCTTTCCATCATATAGGTTTGGGAAGACCGAGAATCCCGGTCCCCTTTGCCACCAGAACCCAGCACCCCTTGCTCAGGCTCCTAGCCCAGCCCAGCCCACCCCAATCAAGACCATCTTTCTCCATGGTGACTATTTATTCCTCATTCCTTTTTCTTTTTGTAAGAAATAGTCACAAAAACAAGTGCAAAACCATCTGTGGGCATCCTGTTTTATATTACAAAACTCCTCTTGATATACAATATAAAAAGGGGGGGCTCACAGGGAATAAACATGATAAATTAGCTCTGCTGTCTACCGCAGGTACAGCTACAGTCTTCAAAATAGACTTTCAACGTAGGGACCCAGTGGGGAAGGGGAGAGGGAGCCTCCTGAGGAGATGGGGCGGGTGCTGAGGCCACAGCTGGTTGGGGTGGGGGTCCCAACTTGGCCCCTGAGGCATGACTAGGAGAGTGGGACGGGGGAGCAAGGGGGGGACCCAGCCCTGAGCCCTTTTGATGCATTCCCTTTAACACGAGGCCTGTGCCTTTGAAGTAGGAAGGTGGTTTTAGGTACTTGGTTGGGGGCTGGAGCACATGACTGACATGTGAAGTCTCCCAGTCTTGCCTTGTTACTGGGGTCAGAGGTCAGAAGACCTCTGGGCAAACAGGCATTCCTGACCCTGTCCCTGCCTACTGCCAGCAGCTGCGTATCTCCCCCCAGCACCTATCATGGGCTGCACTTGGGCAGGGATGGAGGCTCAGGGTCAAGCCTTTTTCACGCCCTGAGACCTGGCCTCAGGCGTCCTCATACACACCTGCCATCCTGGGCTACTACTCAAGTGCAGAGACTGCTTTTCCTTCCCTGCCTGAGAGTGGTCAAGGAGGTCAGGGCTCCTTGACATCTTTCTAGAAAGCCCTTGGGGGTGAGAGTCTTGCATCCACCCTTAAACACACCATAGCCAGACATTCCCCTGTAACCTGTCCTTCCTCCCTCTTTAACACTTAAGGAGCTCAAAAAATGGAGGGTGGGGGGCAGATGCCAGCCTCTTCTCTTTACCTTCAAGGCCCTAAATTCTGTGGGCAGTGGGGGGTGGTGCATATAGGAACCTGAAGTCTAGGATACCCCTGGTTGGAAGCCACAAAGCTACTGATTGACCCCCAAGACACTGGTCTAATCTGTTTTTTTGTTTGCTTTTTGTCAATCTCAGACCGGCCGTTTGCCTCCTTCAGGAAGCCTGAGCTAAGCATGTGGGTGGGTCTAAAGAGGGGCAGGCCCTAGGCCCTTGTCAGGTTAGACTGAGGTGCCAGCTATAGGGCCCTGGCCCCTGGGATGCCCTCTCACTAAGTTGTTCATGGCATTATTTATGGATTTGCCAGGGCACACAGTATAGGGACACCTTGGAAAGACCCAGTTCAGGGACCTGGAGGGAGGGCCAGGACTGGGGAACTTGGAGTGGGGGAGGGGAGCCATAGGAGGGGGTCACATGGGGTCTTTACAGCAGGCACAGAGCTCTGGCTGCATCTCGGAAGGGCAGGTCAGAGCAGGGGGCACTGGGCTCTGTCTCCCAGTAGCTGGAAAGCCAGAGGCAGGCTGGAAGCTGGCACAGAGCCAGAAAGACAGAATGGGCTCTTCCCAGACCCTGGAGAGGGACAGCAGGAGAGGCCAGCAGGCTCAGCTGCCCCTGCCAGTCCCAGGCCATGGCAGACAGCACCAATCAAACCTAAGGTAATTGCCAGACATCACGAGTCAAACTGAAGGTGTTTGCCAGATATCACTAGTTGGGATTCACTGCCCTCTCCCACTGAGACCAGACCAGACCAAACCTTGGATCCTTCACAGCCTCTCATGATTAAACTGATTGGGGTCAAGGCCTTGTAATCCAGTTAGCAATACTGGTCTAGAATTTCAGGTCTGGATATGAGGGATTGATTTGCGATGATTTGTGGGTGTGGATGACCGGGCAAACTGCTCCCTGCCCAATCGTGGAGGGAACACTCATAATGTGCTGTGGACAAAGAAGGGGCAGGAAGCCACGTCACAGCAGAAGAGCCGAGATGCCCTGGAGTTCTTCATCCCGGAGACAAGGAGTCTCAGAGAGACGATGTGTGGCCTGAACACTCAGGAGAGGGAGAACGAACGGATGGCAGGGGCTGAATCACAGAAGACAGAAGCCTGGTCTGTGTGCTGCCCTGATGCTGGTCACTGCGGCCTGAGGCAGGAGGCTGCCTTGGGAGGTAGTGAGCTCCCTGTCCCTGGAGGTGTTCAAGAAGAGGGTGAAGTCTTGGCAGGGATCTTGTGGAAGACATCCACGCCTCGGTTTTGGGTGGAAAGGGACGAATTAGGTGGTCCCGGGGCTGTTCCAGCTTTGGGAGCCAGGGGGTGAGTGGGGAACAGGAGGGCATGGGCTTGGGCAGAGAGACGAACAGTGTGGAAATGACACGTGGCATGTGTACATATGTGAGTTCCCAGGGGCTGGAGGGAAGTGTGTGAAGGTAGGTGGAAGGGCAGATGGGGGGGGGGAGTCCAGAGTAATCTCAGCAATGGAGATGGGAAGAGACGGTTCCTGGTCAGACTGCCCTCTCTCTTCGGGGGAAGCCAGGATGCTGAGACCAGGCGGGTATGACCAACAGGTCTGCAGAGGCCTGATTCTTGCTCAAACTACCGTGCATGTGCTGTGTGACGGGAGGTGAGAAACTGCCTCTCTCTGGGCATTCCAGATGATTGGGTCCAACAGATGGTGGAGGGGAGAAGCCCAGCAGCTGGGCCATTCTTGGATCCAGTGTCTGCAGCCCACTCTTGGCTCCAGCCCAAGGCAGGGATAACGGAGGATGAGGGAGCGCGTGCAGGTTCTGAGTCCTCAAGGACATGGTGACCCAGTCTCCTCAGGCCCCCAGGGCTCTGGTGACCTCTCTCTGATACTTGGTTTTGCCTCCTTGTTGCCTAAGTCCTCATTTATCTTGGCCCCAGGTCCCGAAGCTTCGAGGAGAGGGTCCAGGTCTGGGGTGGCCCGAGTCCGGTTGGGCCGGAGAGGAGACCTGGGACTGGTGCTCCTTTGGCTCCAGCGCCCATCGAGTCTTGGCCTCAGGGACCCCCGGGGAAGCCAGTGGCACCCTCCCCAGAGTCCAGGCCAGGGACATCAGTCTGGATTTTTTTCTTCATTTTGTTTTGTTAAAAAAATAGCTCTTTTTCCCCTTGCCCCTGCTGGCCCCTCATGTTGGTGTGGCCCCTCCGGGCCAGGACAGGGGTGCGGAGGAGGGGAGGGCGTTGGGTGGCGGGCAGTGGTGGGCAGGTGTCTTCGGGCTTCAGGCCACACCCTCTACTGGATGCCCCGGAAGAGGCACATGGCGAAGATCATGGCAAAAAGCTGCAAAGACAGCAGGAGTCGGCGCATCAGGCTGGACCCACAGCTCTCGGGGCGGGGGGGGGGGGGGGGCTGCCCTCCCTGAGGGAAGGGGCCACTGCCTCTGGGACAGGAGGGGGTGTTGCCCATCGCTCTCTGCACACCTGGGTGGGGCGGGGCTGAGCCATTTTCCTAGCGGCCTCCCCTTGGTGCCGTTTAGGAAAGGAGAGGGCTTGGGATATGGGCTCCCCTCTCAGAGCTCCCCTCTTTGCCAGTGATGACTTTGGACAGAACGCTTGTCTTTGGGCCTGAGTGTGTATTGAGAGCTTACTGTTCTGGTGCTTTCTCAGAAACCTCTGGAAGCTAGACACGGAGAGGTCATGAACTTGTCTGAGGCCACACAACTAATCAGTGGGGTGGTCAGGGTGGGAGTCCAGGCATTCTGGTCCTAAGGCTCACGCTTAAAACCCCTGCAGCCTCCCCCCTGGCTCACAGGCAGGTGGTGAGACAGGCCTGTTACACAGAGGCTTAAAAAGTGAGCAGGATTGTTATTGGTAGCAAGGAAGTGCAGCCTTTCGTGCAGTCAGGAGCATCATCAATGAACCTGCGTCCAAGGGCCTGGGGTGGGGAGATGAGGCCGGACCTCAGTAGAGGCCCTTCTGGGCGCAGGGTTCTGCTTCTTTTGGGTGCGGTGGGTTGGGCTATAAGAGCCATGTTCTTCCTGTGTGGGGACATATTTGCCGGGGTCCTGCAGCGATGCATGTTTCTCGTTCCTGTCTCCTCCCAGGAGCCCTGCCCACCTCCTGCAGTGCTGGCACGCAGTAGGAGCTCGGTCTCTGCCTGCTGCATGCATAGGGGAGGGAATCATAATCCCTGTCGCTGCCCCGGGTCTCCAGCTGGGTGCTGAGCAGCTCTGGGGTGCACAGTGAGAAGCCAAGCCTGGCCAGGTTTCTGGTGCCAGGAGTAGGGGGCGCCCTGGAAGGCTGCCCTACATGGTGGGAGGGGCAGGCTGAGTTGCCCAACTTCAGTTCCTGCAGGATGGTTGAGCCCCAAGTGCCCCTTCCTGGAGATGGCTGGTGTGGCGAGGCGGCCAGGAAACTCCTTAGCCGCAGGTGCGTCATCCAGAGAGGGAAGGTGAGGGGGCAGCTCTGTCCTTGGCTGCAGTGCCACCTAGTGGTAGCTTTGGGAGTCTGCAGTTGCTTTATTTTGAGGGGGATCTGGAGTTTTCTGGTAAAGAGGGCTGAGACTGCCCTTGTGAGGTCAACAAGGCCCCTGTGGCCCTGATCGCCCCACAGAACAGCACCTTATCTACAAACACAGGCTGCATCCCGTCTCTCAGTCCTCAGATTGTGTTGATCTTCAATCTGGCCCTTAGGGCTGGGGAGGCTTAGTGAGAGAGGGCGGTGACATGGGGGTGGGAGGAGATGGGAGTGATTCTGAGGGCCTGTCCATGACCCAATTCCCGGACACTTGCTCCAGAGTCCAAGCAAGACTCAGGCAGTGGGCAGACACAGCGGGCTCGGCCCCCGGTGATCCCTGCAGTGGGGGACCCACTTGGTTTTGGTTAAGGACATGGAGACAGAAGTAGGGTGGGGGGATCTGCCTGTATGTACTGGCTTCTGGGGGATTTCACTCACCTCGATGGCCAGCACCCCGATGGCAAGTGCTCCGGCCAGATAGACGTAGGTCTCGAAGGCGTTGAGGATCACCGTGTAACAGCCCTAGGGGGAAGGACCAGAGATGACCCCTAGCCGGGAGGGATAGTCTGGGGACTGGGAAGTGTGAGCCCCAAAACTCAGGCAGCAGCAGGTCTGCCCCATCACGCCCCTATTGGGATGTTCGGTGGAAAGCACGTGGAGGTAGGAGGCCACAGACACAGCAGCTGGGCAGCCACGTGCCTGCTCCTAAGCTCCTGTTTAAGCATCAGAACCTCAATGTGTGGAGCAAGAGCAACAAAATTGAGTCCTGCTCTGGAGAAAGGACAGGGAGATGGGCCGTAGCCCACACACACCTGGGTTGGTAGGCACCTTGGGGGCGCCTTCCAGACCAGAAGCAGCACTGACTGCAGCAGAGTTGGGGGTGGCATGTGGGCCTGGCCATGTGAGCAAGTCCCAGCCAACAGGAGGGGGGCAGCTTGAGTGGCATCCCTAGAGAAGCCCTGTGCCTGCCCTGCCTCCCTTGCCCCTGGCTCAAAAGCACCTGGGGGCACAGCAGAGGAGAGTGCCCCAGAAGCTGGATCAGGGGGCCTTGCATCTCCTCCCCCAATGCAGGAAGGCAGGGCTGGGAGGGGCAGAGGTAATGTGGCCCATCTGCCACCCTCACCCCAAAGACCCCCATCCCCCTCCACTGTGGTTGGATCTTGGGGGCTTGGAGGCTCCACCAGCCCTGTTTAGGAGTCCCATGTTGGATCACACTTTCACGGGGTTCCTTCGGACCTGTGGGCTGATGGCTCTACCCACCCAGCTTTGGCACCCAAATCCTGCTGTGGGAGCCCGGCCTGGTACCTGCTTATTCAGGAACAGGTCCTTTCCCAGGAGGCATTCCTCCCTGCTCAGCACCACCCCATCCCGAGTCTGGGGTTCTCTCCGACAGCAGGCCTCCGGCACCTCGTCACTGTCTAAAGTTAGGAGTCGAAAAACGGATGCAAAGCGAAAGTCTTCAGGCCCGTTGACCCCGCAGCAACCAAACTGGGAAGAGAGCAAAGAAAGTCAGGTCTGGTGGGCGGAAGCTGGACCTGGGACAGGGATGCCCCTGGCACCTCCAGAGGCCACAGTGAGGCAGTGGAACAGAGTTGAGACCCTGTTGTGGGCTGGCTCCCCATCTCCTCCTGTATGGCCCTGGGAAAGTCTCTTAGCTTCTCTGAGCCTTCAGCATTCTCATCTGCAAAAGTGGGGCAGTGGTGCCAACTCCTTCCTCACCTGGTATTAGTAAGCACACAGTAGTGGCTGGGGTTACCCTCACGGGTGATGATTACGATCACCTGCGGGCCGACAGCAGGGTTGGCGAATGGGTGTCATCTTGAGTTTGGACGTGGACATGGGGCAGTGGCTGCCTACAGTCCCCAGTGATGCCCATTCCGAGGCTGGGTCTGGGCTGGGTGGGTGAGCCCTATTGGTTGCTGGTGTCTGGCATGAGCGCACGAGCAGAGCAGCTCTGGAGCCAGACCTGTGCCCACTGGGCCTCCTAACCCTGAGTGCCCACAGCCTGGGGAGGGAGCGGAGCGGTGTCACTCACTGTGATCATGACCGAGTTCCAGGTGGCAGAGAAGATGTCCGTGTCGTTGTTGCCCTGGTAGTGCTTGGTGAGCTCCTTGGTGAAGAATTCACGCGTGAGCTGGGGGCAGAAGGAGAGGTCAGGCTGAGAAGGCTGGTGTGCCCCAACTCTCCTGGCCTCTCCACAGGGGTGGCCTCAGCTTCTGGCACCGGGCGCCTGGGATTCTCCTAGGCCGCCAACTCTGGGGGCTCTTACCCCACCCCCGCCCATAGCCTGCTCCCACCAGCAGTTCACCGAGGAGAGAGGGAAGTCTACACACACACCCTTGCAAACTGAGGCCAGTGGTGAGCCACCATCTGGGCTGGATGAGGGGCTGACTCTGTGAGTCTCTTTGCAGAAGGGAGGCACTGGCCATGAATGGCCATCAACCCCTCAGTGACAGCAGGTTGGTGGGGTGCATGCCTGGTACGTACATTTTCCCTGAAGATGAAGGCCAGGATGGCCGCTGAGAGCTCCGCCAAGAAGATGATCAGGATGAACAGGAAGAACTGCCAAGAGAAAGGGGTAGGCTTGTGAGCACTGAGGGACAGGCACCTGCTGGCTGATGCACCCTTCCATCTTGGCATACAATTGGTGCAATGCTTTCTTTCTCTGAGACAATGGACCTTCATTCCATAAGCCATTTTTCATCATGAACATACCCACAATCCATCCCTGGAGCTAACAAGGTTGTTAACAAATGCAGAAGTAGACAGACAAATATGCCTTCCATGCAAATGGCCCTTTAGACCAAGTCCCTTGTGCAGTCTACAACCTGAGCAACCCTACTTGGCAGTCTCAGAAGAATATCAATGTTGAAATATGTTTTGCACCCCTTCCAGATGGAAATTCAAGATTTTGGAATCCTGAGTTCCCTAGGGATCACTAGCTGGCTTTCCCCCATCCTACCAGTTTCAGGGACACCTTCCCCATCCTGCTGTCTCACATTCCCACAGGAAGTGGGGAGATAACATTGCTCTTCAGCCCTAGTAAAGGAGCATGATTTGCAGGAAGGTGGTGTATGAAAAATCTGAAAACCTAGGACTGGGGTTTGAAATCTAACAGACACCCCTCTCTTCCACTCACTGTATTTCTCAGTGTTCCCCAAAATAGCCATGATGCCCCTCATCTTGACAGGCCTCACAGGCTGTCAAGGAAATCCCCCTCTTCCTTGTCCCCTCTTTCCTCAACCTCTTTAAGGCTTGGTCTCCCCATCAGTAAAATGAGGGTGACACCCACTTCCCATGCCATTGTGGGGAATATAAAATAAGGGAGCTAAGTGTCCCCTGTGTCATCAAAACTTGTTCTTGAGGTTCTTGCATTAGAGACTCTAAAGCCAGTTGAGTGGCGGCTTCTGCCCTGTGCCTTGGAGCCTGGCTCTGGGGCACACTCTCCCCCAATCCCTGCCGCCTGTGGGGTGCCCCTCTCCTGGGTCCTGGATCAAGTGTCTTCCAGTCTGATGAAGGCTCTGCCACTTTGTCCTCACTCCAGGGAGGCCCCAGTCATGGCCCCCCCCCCATGCTTTTTGTTTGTTTGTTTGCAGGGACCTAATTGACTTTATCAAATATTCATGTTTGGCACTTGGAGCCAGGGCCCCTAAGATCCAGCCAACAGAAGACAGACCCTGCTAAGTGAGTCATGCTTTTTAAACCACGTGGCTGACGTGGTGCAACTGAGTTTCACCTTCCCCAGAAGCGATAATACAGGTGCAGCCATGGGGGGCTGCAACGCAGACACCTCCTTGCTCGGCTGATGGGCAAGCAAGATTGCTGACAGCTTTGGTCGGAGAGTCTAAGAACTTTTTCTGGACAGCTAATGCTTTAGCAGCAGATTCTGCAATAGCTTCAAGAGTTAGGGGGAGAGGACAGCTTTGGGGGTCTGTACAGGACCAGAGTCTGCAGTCCACACAGGCGGGTTTATTTTGGTGGCTCTTGCCGTGTGCCCCTTCCTTTGACTCCCTGGGTCTGGGTTGTTCGCCAGCTCTGAGTTTTGAACTCAAATCTGGTTTCCCTGAGAGGCCCTGCACTTTCTCCAAACAGCCTGGGCTATAGATCGCTTTTGGGGACAGCCTCAGGATGGATTTCAAGATGGTGCACCCAGGAGGTGGATGTGAGACACCTCCCACACCTGTCCGGGTGTTGTGTTCTATACATGTGTGACTCCGGGAGAACCACCTCCTCCTTTACGTCTCATTCCTCATCCCTCATTTTCATTTTCAGCCTCAAGCTCAGCCAGGCCACTCACTCTGCTCGCCCTGGAGTCCCTCATCTCTTGCGAAGTCCTAGGGGGTCACCAGGCAGAAGCCCCTCTCACCTGGGCTTCTGCAGTCATAGAGGCTTATTGGGCATCAGAGCCCAGAGGTCTTTTCCTGTTTAGTCCCCCATTTCCACAGTTGAGGGGGGAAGCTGGAGAAGGAAGATGATGACTCCAGAGGTGTGTACCTTGAAAGTTCTTGTGCAAGCCCCATCCTCTTTGTGCTGGCGAGTGAGGTTCAGCACTGGGTCTGGCTCCCACAGGCTGGTGGCAGCCTTATAGGGGTCAGCTGTGTGGGTGAACTTGGGCTGACGTTGGAAGGCAGAGAGGAGCATGACAGGCCCCCCCGCATGATACCCACAGTCCACTCTGCCACCCCCAACTTTGATCCCCACCCCACCAGCGGGTTGGCTCTTGGCCTGGTTGACGTGTTCTCCAAACCTGTGGCCTCTTGTCCCCCACGACAGTAATGGAGGCCTCTGGCAGGGCTCCTGGCACTTCCATTTGGCTGCTGATGGATGGTCATCCGGTTCTACCTTGCATGGCCTCTTGGGGAACCCTTCCCTATCCTCTGCCTCTTTGTGGAGTTGCTGGCTGTCCTCCCCTGGCAAAGAGTGGCCCCGGAAATGGTGTTCAAGCCGGGCGATGCGATGCGGCGGGCTCTGGCTGAGACAGCTATAAACTATAGATGAGCCGGCATTTGGCCTCATGTGCGCCACGTGCTCTCCTTGGGCGTGGTCCAGGATGACTTAACACGGCCTCAAAGAGATGGGCCAGGCAGAGCACCCCGCACAAGGCCGGCATGAGATCAGAGCCGCTCAGATGGGGATCCGACACAGTGGCGGCCTGGCCACCCAGGCTAGTTCTGGAAGGACAGTGTAGCGCCCGCCTGCTGAGCGCTTACGATCTGGGTATTGGATTGTACCTGGGCCATCCCACTGCACACTGCCACAGCCTGGCAAAACAGCTGCTGCTATCATCAGCACCCCACTTTACTGATGGAGAGATGGGGGTGCTGAGGGGGTAGTACTTTGAATGAGCTGGTCCAGTTGGTAGGTGTACCCCTGCGATAAGCACAGAGAGTCTGATTCCAGAACACAGCCCCTTAGCTCCATGTTGTTCTGGAAGCCACGAGAGCCTCTGGGTCTCAGCCTTTGAGATGGCCTGTAGGGTCAGCACCAATTCTGTCAGTTTCCCATTTATCACGCGCTTACATGTGCCAGGAGAAGAGTGCAGCAAGAAGTACATTTTCTCATTAAGCCATGATCACAACCTATGGCTGGAAAGGAGGCATTTTTTAAAAAAATCATACCTTTTCATAAGCGTACTCTGAAATTCAGCGAGGAAAGTGACAGAGCAGAGATTAGAACGCATATTTTTCTGACTCCAGTGTCCATGCTCTTCCTCACACCCCTGGCACTGACTCCTTTCTGTTCCTTCATTCCAGGGCTGCTTATTGAGCACCTACTCTGTGCCAGCGCTGTGCTAGGTACTGGCAAACACACACACACACACACACACACACACACACACGGCGAGATGTGGCCTCCATCCTCATGGAGCTTACATTGATTCATGAAATGAAATTCATGAGATGAAATCAACTCATGGGCTGGGAAGGGTGGCTCTCCCCAGAGGAAGGGTGTCTGTGGACCTCCTTGCTGCTGCTCCTGGCTCCAGCAGGGCTCCCCCAAGCACAGGGGCTGAGGGCTACCTTATCTGGGTGTGAGTGTGAGTCCCCAGAAAGAATGTGCAGGGTTGTGAGGGCAGCATCATCATAATTTGACTTCTACCACTTGCCTTCTCCAGAATGAGGTGAATTCCTCCTGCTGAACCGGGTGGCCATTGGCTCTATGGAGGGGATTCCCCTTAGCCAGGCCATGGGGTTTGTCCTGATCCTGGGGCTTCCCCTAAGCAGGGCCTTCCCTAACCTCATCCCATTTGTCTAAGAACACATCTGCCAGCAGTGCCTGAGCATCCAATTTACAACACTTGCGCAGGATGGGGACTTTATCAAAGGGCCGGAAACAGCCTTCTGCCTCCTTGAGTGCATTTCCAGGCTTTGACCACCTGCCTCCGGGCATGGCTGCTTCCGGGTCTCATTTCTAATAAATAGTTACCAAATTTGCATACTTTGTGGGAAACAGCTCATTTATCTCTCTAAAATATACTCACTCTTTTTGCTGTTCTCTTTTCCAATTTAGCTTGCCTTCGTTATAAAACATTTTTTAAAATATGGATTCTAAATAAATCAGCTAAAATCATTTCTTGAACATGACTCTAAGGTAAGCAACTGGGAAAAAGGGGGTGCCACAAATTGTCAACCGCAGGCTGACACTGTCCTATTGTAGGTGAAAAAGCTGTGGAATTGATCTGAAGATCTGGGGTCTTCAGAAAAGCTGATCCTTGGGTGATGTGGTCTTTAGACTCACATCCAAGGCTCAGGGTCACCAGGAGCCTGAGGGTTTTAGCCTCAGAGCAGAGAACAGGGGATGTTCAGTGAACCGCACCCCTCCTTTCTCCAAAGGCCTTAGACTCAGGGTTCCTGAGACACTCAATGCTGATTCTCTTGGCCTCTCAAGAAGTCTTCCTTCCTCCCAGCAGGTAAAGGAGGCTCAGGCTTCTGGAAGGAACCTGGGACTTCAGAGGCTACCAGGGGTGACTCTTCACCCCGGAGCTGGGAGCACCTCCGGGCCAGGTACAGGTTGGAGAACAGAAAAAGCTCTTCTTATTTTTAGGTCACACATCTTTTTGAAAATCTTCCAGAAGTTGTGACATCTCCCCCCAGAAATACACATGCACACACCCCATACACACAGTGCTCAGTACAGACACACAGGCCTGACTTAATGTATTGTATGTAATGTCAGGGCCGCTTGAGGTCAGTCCAGGTTGGGAGCCCCAGATCAGCTCTGGTCAGAGGGGCAGGAGACCTGGGCCCAAGTGTCCCCTGCCTTTGGCCCACACAGTGGCCCTGGGGCTTGTCTGTGCCGGGTGTCAGAGAGGAGAGAGGGTGGGAAGAAAGGGAGGGGAGACAGGAGGAGAGAAGAGGAGGAGGAGAAAGGACAGGGGAAGCAGAGAGGCAGGGAGAACTCAGGAGGGACGAGGAAAGCAGCAGAAATAGAAATTGAGATTAAAGAGAGGCAGAGAGACAGGAAGATGGGCAGGGAAGGAGTGAGAGAGAAAATGGAGAAATTTAGCAGAAAAGGGTGAGAAGCAGCTGCTATTAAGGTAGCCCAGGCCCAGCAGCCAAGACCTAACTCTCTCTGCGGGTCCTTGGGCGGGTCTCGTCCTGTCTCTGGGCCTCAGTCTCTTCATAAACACTGGGGACGGCAGAGCCCTCGTCCAGCTGGCAGACTCCAAGGCAGCCACTTAGCGGGAGAGAGCTTGCGAGGCCCCCAGCCTGCTCCCAGCCCTGAGCCCCAGGCTTCCTGTCTTGGCTTCAGAGATGAGTCCATTAACAGTGGATGAGTCCCACGGGCCAAGGTGAGGTGGGGAAGGGAGGTCTGGTGTGTCCTGGAGCCCACATCCCAACTCTTTTGAAAAGTCCCTTCTGAAGTCCCAGCCCAGACGGCCCTGCGCCATGTGCGCTGTGGAGCGCTCGCCACCAGGGGGCGCCAGAGGACTGCTTTGTTTCCAAGTGAAAAGCTTGGTGGTGGTGAAAGGGACCCAAGGGTCCACATACACACTTCACAACGGATTCACTTTCTCTCTAGGATGTGGGGCATCTGCCTCACAGTGACACGAAAGGGGACTGTGCAGTCTGTTCTCACCTGGGGTGCGGGGTCATCACAGGAGCAGACAGGCACCTTGGAAGGAAGCCTTTCCGCTGACCAGCCCAGGTCTCCCTCATGCTTAACTCCAGGCCCACCCACTCACAGGCCCACGCACCCCAGCGGGGGGTCGTCTCCCATCCACCCCACGCACTTCTCCAAGAAGGGCTGCTTTTAACTTACCTGGTGGAGAACGCCACAGTTTCCCTAGCCCCAGGGGCCAAGGGACCTCATAAAAGAGAGAGAAGACCAACCCACCAGGACCAGGGAAGTAGGCCCAAGGGCCGAGCTCATGGGCACAGAAACAGAACATTCGCTGCTCAGACTGTTTGCCTCCAACTCACAGCCAAACTGGCCCAGACCTTGTTTAAAAGTGAGATGCTAAAGCTCAGAGAGATGAAGAAAGAAAAGGACGTCCCGTGGTGGGTGAGGGGACAGGGCAGGGCAAACACACGGGCCCAGGCTGGCCAGCTGCCCAGCTCGTCTGCGTGGGCGCAGGGTTTCCCACACACCGGCCCTGGAGGAAGGACAGCCCACTCTTGGCCGGTACCTCCGTCCCAGCACCTAGTGAACTATGGGCCCAAAATAGATGTTCAAGGACTAGTTATTTAGTGAATAAAGAATCTTTTGAGATCATATCATTTCTATTTTAAACTGGAAATGCAAAAGCTATTTATGCAATAGTTGTCTTAGCTATCTTACCAAGGAGCTGATTATTGAGTTCTTAGAAGTAAGCAAGTGTCAGAGCATCATTGTGCATCTATGTGCTCAGCCGCCCATGCTTGGGAGAGGCCTGGCTGCTCCACCTGAAGGCCAAGGCCTCTCTCCGCCTGGGTCAGTTTGCCCATGTGGCAGGCAGTGCAGAGAGCAGGCTCTGGGGCCACAGATGCTAATGGAAGAGCTCAGTGTGGCCTTCCCGATCCAGGTGGGCAGCCTACTTGGCTCAGACCCTCCTCGTGAGTCCTCTGCAGTACAGGCACAGGAACACCTACCCCCTGCCAGGGCGCCCGTGGGTGGGGGGAGATGGGGTACTCACAAACAGCAGCAGACACTTGTTCTCACGGACAGCCCCACAGCAGCCCAGGAAGCCCAGCAGAAACAGCAGGCCCCCCATGGCCAGGAGGATGTAGGCTCCCGTGATGAGCAGGGGATTGGCGGCCACAATCTCCCGGAAGCCTGTGGGGTCCACCATGACCCAGATGCCGATGCCCAGCAGGCAGGCCCCGCCCAGCTGCTCCACGGGCCGGTAGAAGAGGGAGGAAAAGAAAGAACGGGGGGTTAGATACTACACACACACCATTCCTTGAGCAAGACTCCGGGGGGCCGAAGCACCGAGGCCCAGCCCTGTGAGTGGTGGGCACCCCATCCATGCGTGGACCAATGTCCCTTCTATGCTCTCATTTTGGATTTGGATTTTCCCCCACACCCCATCTCTTACCCATGCCCCCTGCAGGCTGCTGAGAACCACATTATGTAGCGTTTATGTGCTACTTTTATATTCTCCTTAAATGTCAGCGCTACGGAATAACGGGGTCATCTGGTCCAACCTCTGATTCTACACTGAGCCCCAGTGGAGGAAGTGGGGACAGTGACTTAACGAAGGTCACACAGCAAGTTCACGGCAAAGGCAGAGCCGAATCCTGAGTTTCCCTGGCTGCGGCCCCAAGGACACTCTCCAGGCGCAAGCTGAGAGCCACGCTGGGCCTGAGGGCCAAGCAAGGGGCTGGGCGCGCAGACAAAAGTCTTCCTCTTTGTCCTCAGCGGGGCAGGCTGAGGCTCCCCACTCTCAAATATAGTCCTAGAAAGTCTTGTTTATGTCTCATCTCCACAGGCTCCCTCTCCACATCCGACTTATCTTCAGAGAGAGGCGGCTTAGTCCTGAGAGAGCTGTGCCACTTATTAGCTATGACCTTGGGAAGTGGCTCAACCTCTCTGAGCCTTAGTTTCCTCATGGTTCAAAGAGGATACAAGTTCTTCCCTGAGGTGGATCATGCAGGAGACCCCGTTGGTGTCAGTGGATTTGAAGGCTGTGAAGTGTCTGCGGCCCCGGCGTGGTAAGAAGGCTTGAGAAAGGACAGACCGTGGCTCGGGTACACTTTGGCTTGGCTGAGCCGGGTCTGGAAACTGTGGGGAAGAGCTGGATGGCTTGGGGGCAAAGATGATATTTTTAGGTGTGGTCGGCACTGGGTCTGAGCAGAGGGGCCTGAGGGGGCCAGCAGTGGGGAAGGGAGAAAGCGGGAGAGAGGACCCACGGGACAGCCCATGATGGGGTCTGCATCTCGGCCCCTCTTTATCATGCCTTTCCCCTGCCTTCCCACAGTAGAACCTGCATCCCTCCTCAGGGCTGGAGGCTGGAGGCTTCAGCAACTGTGTGCTGAGTTTGGCCGGGGCACCGACAAAGAGTGCAGGGGGACCCAGCCCCAATTTGGGTGGGGATACCGGGGCTAGTGCAAGGCCACCCCCTTGGAAGTCAGGTCTAAAATGTTGGCCTTGAGTGCTCCCTGCCCTTCAGGGTTAGAGGGTGGGGGAGACTCCCAGAGGGGGCTGCAGATATACTCCAGTCTGCAGATATACTCCATCTGCAGTGTATCAAAACAGATGGAGACAGACAGGGGCCTCCGAAGGACATTAGTGGACATTTGCTTGGCCAGGTCTTGGCTGCACTAGGGTCAGAGGTAGAGGCTGGGCCAGCAAGGCCTGCAGGGACCCCAGTGTGGGGGAGGGCCTACTCCCTAAACTAATCTCACTCTTCAAGGCACCTGTTGAGATGGCTAAGCAGGGATGAAGATGCTGAGATTCAGAGGTGGAAGGTGTGTCGCATCGCAGAGATGCAGGGCTGGGCTTTCAACCCAGCTCCCCCAGACCCAGAGGGGTTTCTGATTATGCCAGGAGGCTACTCCAGTTAGTCCCTCCAGCTTTGATGACTGGAGCTGGGGGTAGCTAGCCTCAGGGTCAGGGGTGGGATGGAGCACCCTCTGCTGCCCTCTGATCACCCTGCTTCACCCCTACCTGCCTCTGTACCAGAGGTTGGATCCCAAGAGAGCAGCCAGGAAGAGACCCCTGCTGCTGGTCAGAGGAGCTGGGCCAGCCTCTGCAGAATGCCCCTCCTGACCTAGGCTCTTGGCAGTGGGCTGGGCCGTGCCAGGGGCCTCACCTCTGTGACATCCTGGCTAGGCAGTAAGACCTGCATCTAGCACTGGTCCCTGTTCCCGCCAGTTCTGCCCACCCCACCCCACAGAGGCCCGGGAGTGCCCAGGAATACTTACAAATATGAAGAAATTGAAAACAAACATCAGGTACTTCATGCAGCTGAGACAGTCGCCCTCCATGGCGCGCCACCTACAAAAGAGCAAGACCCCCTCAGTCTTCTTGCCGGAGACCCCACGCGAAGAGCCCCTGACCCCGCCATGGGGTCCCAACAGTCAGCTCCTACCTCACACGGAGTGGAGAAAGGGGGGAATTTCCTTCCCAGGATGGTGCTTTGCCCTGTGGGTTAGGAGCAAGAACTGGGGAGCCAGCCAGTCAGGGTTCAAGTCTCATTTGCTGTGTGGCTTTGAGCAAATCACTGTGCCTCTCTGACTTTTTTGACTTGCAAACAGAGATTAAAAACAGAAGCTTTGATTGGTCTTCCCTGATGGTGCAAGGGGTTAAACACCTCACTATGAAGCAATCCCAGCCTCTGCAGCACGAGTTCATTCCCCAGCCAGGGAGCAACCCACATGGCACAGCAGACCTCTCCTGATTCGCCCGCTGCTTCCCTCAGCAGTGTATTTCAGTCAGTCTGCCTGTTCTGCTCCCCACTCTGTCTCTGGTGAATCCTCTCACCTTCCTGCACCTCTAGCCTGCACCCCAGCTCTTGCATGCATAAATAAATAAATCTTAAAAAACAAAAAACAAAAAACAGAAGCTTCCTTGCAGCAGGGATATTGGGGGGAGAGTTGAAGTAAACCTGCTTAGTCTGATGTCCAGCACAAGCAAGTGTCCACGTACTGCTTCCTGATGCTGCGTGGGTGCAGAGGTGAGACTTTCATTGGCTAGATGGGACCCTACTGCTCGGCGCTCCAAGGCGTGGAGCAGGATCAGAACCCCAGACCTCGCAGGGCCATGGGGGCAAGGGACTGTAGGGGAAAAGAGGTGTGTCGCCTACCTAGGGCCCGAGCTCTGCTCCTGGGAAGGCCAGCCCCATGTCCGACTCTCTCATCATGAGACGGGCAGCCCCCTACTTTCCCTGCTCCCACCTAAAAGGATGCCTGGCAACGAATCACTGAATCAGTTCTGTTCAGACAACATTTCATTGTGCATTGACAGTAGGCCAGGCACTGGGTGTTGAAGCCATTGCAGCCCTGATGAGGGAACTGAGCCTCAGGGAGGAGAAATGACTTGTCCAAGGGTGCAAGCATGGAAGAGCTGGGATAAGAACCCAGGTGGCTGGCAATGTGCCAGCCCTTAATCACCCTTTCAACCCTTAATCACCCTTTTCAGTGAATGGTAATTCTCTTGCCCCATTTGCCCATCCTCCTTCAAAATACAGACCAAAATTCTTCACACCTCCTATGACACTTTATTTGCTGCTGTTTAGGGGACCAACAATGGCAAAAAAACCATCACCCACCGCCAGGCTGGTGGCCAAAGGCCAACAACTCTGCCTGCCTCGCCCGCAGAAGGGACTTCTGAAGCGTGAACATGCCTCCTCAGCCAGTTGGCCAGATGAGAGTGACAGACACGTGGGATCTCCAGTCCCTGCTGGGATCTCTCTATTAGCTCCACCTATCCACTAAGTCCTCCGGAAGTTAAGCACATCACCACCCAGGCCCCCTAGTTATCGCTAAGGGGAGTGGGGACTTTGGTCGTCTCTGGAGGGTGGGCTGGTAGACGCTTAAGACCTTCAAGTCCAAGGGCTTAGCTGTTCTTCAGGAAAGATGATGAAGCAGTGATGAAGGAGACTGGGGTCCAGGGTCCTCCTTGGGGCTGGGCTGAGTGGTCCCCTGAGGCATCCCAACCCTCAGAACTGAAGGGGAGGGTATCAGTGTGTGGGCGCCACAGGGTCACACTGGACCCTGCTGTCCTGTCTTCTAGCCTCGTGACCTTGGGCAAATCCCATAACCTCTCCGGGAGTTTGCTTTCATGTCTGCAAAATGGAGCCCGTGGTGCTGCCTCTGTAGGAAGGGGCACCACCGAGGTCGAAGAAACACAACACTGTGAGTTCTCACACTGAGGCCCACACATGGGGGCTCAGTCCCTTCTCTCACCCAGTGGTCCAGGCTTGAGGGGGCTGCTCTCACCCACTTGCCAGATACTGGCACCTCAGCTGTGGTCCTCCGTGTCAGGGCAGGGCAGGACTGGATGTGGGGGATTGCTGAGCTAGGAAAATGAGTGTTTAGTGGTTCTCAAATGGGGTTCCCTGAGATTAGCAATATCCTAAAGCTATTTGTGGGATTTCAAATAACATCTCTGAAATCATCTCCTCACCGCAAGTTGGCTCAAGGGGCACACGTCTTGGGCTTTAGAGCAATTAAACCACCGAAGCTTTTTTTGGGTTTTCAGCTCTTTACATAATCGAAGGAGAAACTGGATCCTACTTCATCAATGACTTGGTAAAGGCAGCGCTATTTGGTAGATAAAATTTTTCACATCTTTGAGGCCCAGAGGGTGACACACAGGGGTCAGCACTCCAGGCAAACTTGACTTTATGTGAATTCAGCACAAATACCGTTTAGCAAACACGGTTCCAGCTGCCCTTCCATGCGGGCGTCTGGCCCAGGGTGAGTCTGGGCAGGAGCCATGGATCTCATGATCTCAAGGCTCCTGTGCCTGTCATGCACCCCTCACCTGGCCGAGTGGGGATGCCAGGCTTACAGGTGGGTGTTCCTCACAGAACACAACCCTCAGATGCAACCGGCTATTTCATGTAAAACAAAACAGGCATTTAAGAGCTTCAAGGGGATTTAAGGGAAACGCACCTGACACTACTGTTTGTGTAAGCCCTGATCTGGGATCCAGGCTTTGTATCATTTATGTCACCAGCATGTCCATAAAAAGAGCCCTTGGTCAGGAAAGGTAGGGAGGTGCTGACCAGGCCCGGCACCCTCGCTTGGGAAAAGAGCAAAGCGATGCGAGGAAGGGAAAGGGAGAAAGGGAGCTTGCCAAGTTACAGAATGAATCAGCGAGGGAGCTGAGGCTGGAGCCCAGGGCCCGCAGCCCAGGCGGGGCCTCCAGGAGGCCGCAGGCGCTGTGTCATTTATTTGCTGAACGGCGGCACATCTCCCGCCTCAGGACGCAGACCCCGCAGACCAGTAACCTTTGCTTTGCTGCTTGGCGCACAGGGGGGCCACGATGCGCAGGCAGCATGGAGGAAGGACAGTGAATGACGGGTGGGAACGGAGGAGCCGAAGGCAGGAAGCAGTAGACTCAGAAAACCAGAGAAATAGATGAAGACAAACTCTGACGAGAGGGAAAGGTGGAGAAAGAGCAAAGGAGAGAGGGGGAGAGAGACAGCGCATGTCAGCGGCGGTACCCGGAGAGACAGCCTGAGGCAGAACGGAGGGGAGGTGGACAGAGTGGGGGGCGGGCCGCACAGACAGTCACCTGGGCTGCTCCTCGGGCGTCAGCGGGGCCGAGTCTCCAGGTCAGAGGGGCTCCTGTGTATTTCTTTTATTGGCCCAGCTTGTCCTGTAAGAGAAAACACCCGTGACCGCGGGCTGTCCGCAGGAGCAGGGACACTGAGGAAGCTGTTCATGGAAACCCACCCCCTGACCTCCCCCTGGAGGGCGATGCCTTGCTCATCTGGGCCTGTTAGTGCTGATGAAAAGCTCTCAGCACCAGGGACATCCTGCCGGGGAGGCCTGCGCAGAATGGGCCTTCTGCCCACATGGCAGCCAGTGCCCTCCCGGGGGCTGGGGCTACGTGGGGACGCACACGTGGTTTCTAGCCTGGACATCCTCTGCTGCAACGCTGTGTGTGACTGACGAACTGGGAGGAGGCAGTGGGCGTGGGGCCCCCCACACCTGGATGCCACTTGGATGCCACCTGGGCATCTGCAGTAATGTCTCCACAGAGAAAGTGCCAGCAGGGTTCTGTTCACCATACCCCCCCCCCCCCAGAAGCCCTGACTCCCAGGAGAGAGAAATTTGATGCTGAGAAGGGCTCTTTAGCTTTGCATAATGATTTGCCAGAAGGCTCCATTAGAGAGTTAGCTCTGGACGTGTGGAGATGCGGGTTTGGTTTCAGCAGTCAGATGGAGACCGCTGGTGTGTCGCACTGCCTGGCTCAACACTGAGCCAGATGACAGCCTCAGGGACCACGCGGCCAGGGGAGCTTGGGCTGTGGTGGGCGTACTCATGGGAATGGAGGAAATTTCTGGGTCTCAGGTGCCAGTTCAGATTCCTTCTCATTCATGTGAGTGGAAGGGTGGTAGGTAAAAGATTCCTTTTTTCATCCACCCATCTTCCTATCCATCCACCCACCCACCCAACCATCCACCCACCCATCCATCCATCCACCTAACCACCCACCCATCCATGGGCTCAGTAGACATTTACTGAGCCCCTGCTCTGTGCCGCTTGCTGGCTTAGAGAATGGAGATACAGATAAGCTGGCTCTCCCAGCTGGACAGTGAAAAGACTCTCCCAGCTGGACAAGGAAACAGATGACAATGGGGCTGGGTCCCCCAGAGACGAGGACTAACTCCCCACTGTTACACCTCCACCGGGTCAGGTTCTCCAGGCAGGGGGATGGTGCTGGTGAATGAGTCTTGAGAAAGTATGGAGGTGGTGGTGGAAAGGCAGAGGAGGGGCCTCCCTTCTGAGAATTCCCCAAGGCCCCTGGAGCTGGTGACCCTGTTTGATGGAAACATGCATGCCACACCCCTCTGGATCTGTGTACAGACTTGAGTTACACGTTTACACACTGGAGCTCATTAAATGCTCAGCACAACCCCAGGAAACTGCTGTGCCGCCATCATCCTTATGTTATGACAAGGAAACAGGCCTGGAAAGAGAGGCGTCTTGCCCACCCTCACACACTAGTAAGAGATGGGGCTGGAATCCAAAGCCAAGGGTCAGATCAAAACCGGCTTTGACAGGAAGTGCTTTATCCACCTGTGCATCACACTGCGCGCCCGCCCCCACACAGCCCAGCCGGGTGGACTCTGGCCCCATTTTACAGAAGGAAACCGAGCCTAGAGATGGAGGTGGCAAAGCGGAGCAGCGCCTGAGATTCCAAGTTCTGTCTCCAACTCAGGGCAACAACTCAGAACAGCAGCTATCACCCCAAGCCGGCTTGCCTGTGACTCTGCAGGTGTTTCTTTCTTTCTTTCTTCTCTTTCTTTTTTTTTTTAACAGATTTAGTTTCATTTATTTATGCATACAAGAACTGGGGTGTGGGGGGTGAGAGGACTCACCAGAGACAGAGTGGGGAGCAGAACAGGTGGATCTACTGAAATACACTGCTGAGGGCGAGACAGGAGAGGTCTGCTGTGCACTGCTTGTACTCAGCCCAGTGGCACCCAGCTTGGCTAGGTCCCTTAGGAACCTTGGAAAGTCAGCACCCTTGTGACGTGCTAGGGACTCAAAACTGTGATCCTCAATTGTGAAGCCAAAGGAGGTTGTGAACATTCATAATATGAAGCACATGGGACGAAGAGGGTGTGACTCGTGAACACTTGGGAACTTGCAGAGCCCTGGCCCCTGGGGAACTTTGACCAGCATCACTTTATTGGAAACAAGCAGATACCCGAGTCCCGTCCAGCGGGCATCCTGGCAGTGGACATATGGCTTGGTCAGGATGGAGAGAAGCATCTTTCCCTAAGAGGCCCCAACATCAAAGTAATGGGTACAGTAAGAATTGAACCTAATAGTCACACACGTGTTGAGCGCACCGTGTTCTGGACTCTGCTAAGCATTTCCCCTGTGTTCTCTCACTTAGTCCGCACATAGATCGTGGGCACTGTTATTGTCCCACTTCACAGAGAAGGAAACCATGGCTCAGAGAACGTAATCCCTAACCTGAGTTCCTTCACAGGGTGACTAAGACGTGGCCATGATTCAGGCTCGAGTCTGCTGAGCCCCAAACCAGATCTCCTGACAAGACTCCAGTCTGTGGATGTGGCACCAGGGAGGACACCAGAAACAGGAGTGCTGTGTGCCCTGGCCGGTCTCCAACCTGGTGCTGCTTCTGCCCCGAATCAGGCAGCCAGGCAGAATCCCAAGAGCCACTAGTACCCTCCCTAGTGCCAGCTGGAGGTTTTGGGGGGAGGGCCCCATCCTGCCATCCCTCGACAGATGGGAGCCCTGAGGCCTAGAGAGGGGCAGAGTGGGGTCGAGGTCACACAGCGCCTCAGGGTTTCCCTCTGCCAGGCCCCTTCCCCGGGCCAGACAGCTTTATTAATCTTGCCCCTCCCACTGCCCCAGATGGCGGCTCAGTCCCATCTGCACAGAGTGGACCCAGGAGGGGTTCTCTGATTAAGAAGAGAAGCTCATTTCATAAATCACTCCTTTTCTTTTCACTGCCCCCAGCCCCGGGCACGCTTTCCGTGGAGAGAGACAAGGAGACAGGTGGATGTGAGTCCTGAACACACTCCCATCTGAGGACGCAAATTTGGGTGTGGACCTGCGTCCGGGAGAGAAATGTCTTGCCCCTGCCAGGTGAGGGCGCTGTGGCCCAGGTCTGAGTCTCCAAGGGGTCTCACCTCCAGCAACCTGGGTTCCAACTGGCAGGGACTCTGCCCCAGGAAGCTGTGAGATCTGGACCTGGACGGGCCTCATCGCCTCCGGGGCCCCACCTCCTCTTATGTGAGATGGTGCTTCTCAACAATTTGCAGGGTCTTTGCAGGGACAGAAGGTGATGATGTGGATGAAAGTCCTTTAGCACCCCAGGCACCTGCTCAGGCCAGTCCTGGGTGTGGTCCAAGCACGGAGACCGATCACTTTAATGGTGATTCCTTCCCTCCTTACTGATTCATTCCAGTCCAGTGACTCAATAACCAGGTACTCAGAGAGGGGTGTTAACAGCCATATCAACCAAGCATTCTGGGCACAGAAACACTACAAGGAGGAGCAACCCAGCACTAACTGCCAGGTGGGGCTGGAGGGGCCGGGGCTAGAACTCTGGGAGGTGTGTATTCAGGGCCAACTTTTAATAATGCAAGGCATGCATGGGCCTTTCCTTGCAATGATCTCTGCAGAGAAGATGCTATTGTCATTGTTCCCTTTGTGGCAGCAGCAATTTAGACCCAGAGCTGTAGAGAAGCCCCGGCCCTGACACCCAGGCCGCCTGTGCCTGGAGCCACAATGTCGGTCAACAGACACGGGGCCCGATTTGTCAGAATAATAATGATTCTTAAGACCAGGTTCAAAGCTGAGAAGGACTTTATTTGTTCCGTGGCTGTGCCTGCTGGGCTTCATCCCAAGACAGACGGTCTCGCAAACAAGCAATTGGCCCGAAATCCTGGCATGCCTGGTGATGGCACGGACTTGGGGACATGGACACAGCTGAGCGGGGATAAAATCTAATTAGGCTCCTGGGGGCTGTGCCGTGAGGGTTAACATTATGGAGCAGAGTCTGTCTTGGAGGCGACCAGATCCTAAACGACAGCTTCCCCAGCCCCAGACACACTGAATCAGAAATGTCAAGAGGGCAGAGAATCTTCACAGAAGGAAGAGACTGAGTTGGGGCTGACGCCATGTTGGGGACGCTGAGGCCCAGAGAGAGACATGGTCTTGCCCCACATCCCATAGCAGGGTCAGAGCCAGGAGCTCTTTCCCCCACTCAGAGCAGCCTCTTGGAACTGACATTTTCATTTGACTTCTGAAAACACTTACACACAGCCTCACTGAATCCTCCCAAGCACCCCAGGAGACAGGCAGTCCTAGAGAGATGAAGTCACTAGCACAAAAGTCATAGAATAGGGTGGAGGAATTGGGACAAAGCAGGATTCCGAGTTCTTCCATCCTGGCTGTCCTCCAGAGGGATGGCCTGGGGGACTTTGGGGCCTACAGCTCCCTGAGTGACCCTTGCCACAAACCATGCCTCCCCCACTCCCAAACCCTGGACCAGATACAGGGCAATGGGTCCATCCTCCTGCCTTTCACTGAGCTAGACCATTTGGAAAGGCTTCTGGGGATGAAGGCTCTGCACCCACTGGCAGACTTTTACTTGCTATTGGCAGGGTGCTGCAGACAAGGCCACCTGGGCAATTTGGACTTGGGCATGAGTATAGAAAAGAGGAGGCCAGGAGGTCACTCAGAATCAGGAACAGGATTGGCCTCAGGGCACCAAAGTGCAAGTGCAGTGAGGGGCCCAACTGTGCAGTATAGCTGAGATGGGATCAGGGGCTGAGTTCAAGGGCAGGGACACTAAGGTCCTGGGAGATGGTTTGGGTAGCAAGCCAGCCTCCCATTGGGGGAGCAGCCTAGAGTTTTCTGGTGCATTCACGCCAGCTGGAGAAGGGATCTCCAGAAGGTAATTCAAAGGTCACCTCACACTACAGTTTTGGGGTAGGGGGAAGGACTTGCCTGAAGGTACATGGCAAAGTCAGGGTTGGACCACCTAGTAGGACTCCCAACCTGGGGGCTCCCTGCCACATGCTGAGGTATCCTCAAAATGCAGCCCAGGGAAAGCCAGGCCCCTGGGAAGAGTGAGCGGGACGAGGACTGGAGGGAGCAGGGACAGGA